GAAAAAAATAAAATTATGGACTTGAATTGCATCTCTTCAATTATTTATGTGTTAGGTGTCGGTGGGGAAGGGTGACCCAATTTAAGAGACGAATATAGAGGTTAAATACATTATATATATATATATATATATATATAATGTATGAAGAGTTTTCATACACTATTTACTGGATTTGCAGAGTGAGATTTATCTTGGTGGGTTTTTTCCTTTAATACGAAATTTCTTTTAATGTAAACTCGATGTGTGTTTTTTAACTTACAATTCGTCATTGTAATTATCGAATATAATAAAATTTTGAGTATTCAGATATGTTCTTGTTATTTTTAAGAAAATAACTCAATAACGAATTGTTTCTTTTAAAATATGTTCCGTTTATTTTGTTCGTAACAATTCAATCAACTCTTCAAATAAAAAAAATTAGATATTCTCTCTTTCGAGATCAACACATTTGATATTATTTGACGCATAATAATTTCTATATACATATTATGGATTTGCGTTATTAGGTGTTATTAGTTATTAGTGTTTTTCTGTTACGGAAAAATTTGATCTCGGTAGTTTATATATTTATACGGGTTTAAATTTTAAAATTTTTTAGGGTTTGATCATATTCAAATTATTAGTACATAAATAAAAAAAAAATTAAAAATATCCCAGTAACCTAATTCAAAAAACCCAGCAACAAAATTCATTATTTTTAGCCTTCCACACACACATACATATATATATATATATACAGACAATATATATGTGATAAGATCAGTTTATTTTAAAGAAAAAAACAAAGGCAAATAAATGGTTAATAAATAATTGATGGTATAATGATCTTTCTGTTCCTCCTCCAATTGTCAGACTCTCAGTCTCAGATAGATCACAACAAATTCAAGCCCTCAGTTTTTTTTTGCCTTAAAATTTCTCTTAACCTCTACTGCATATTCCTTCTCCTTGTCTGCTTCAACTTTTAGTATTATTTTCTTGAATATATATATACATATACACACAAATGAGCAGCTCATGCACTGCATTATTGCACTGGCTTTGCCATACCATTATTGCATTGTTACATTTGGAGCGACCCAACCATGCTATTGATGGCAGGGTCATGCTAAGCATGACTTGAATTAATATGAGTTAGACACCAATGACATAACATAAGTTGCATTTCTACGTTATTTTGCGACCGCGACCCCACGAGGGCTTATAATCATTGAGTTTTTGTCTAGTTCTTAGATGCAATTAAATAATTAACTTAAATAATAAATGAAATTATGTTTATTTCGAAAGTATTAATTCTGCATTCGATTGATTGAACTCATAAATACTATAAGTTATATCTCGTAACTTAGTGTCATAAGTTCTACTTATTCCTTGTTATTAGCGGGAATACCTTTTTATGTATTTAAAAATAGTAATATCATGTGAATCTTTATAAACTATTTATAAATATATTCGTATTTATCTTATAATATCATTCATCGAAGATAGAAGAAATAATTTTTTTAAAAAAAAAAATATAAAAACAAGACTATTCTTATTGTTACTGTAAAGGATTTTTTTACTCAAGTATTGTAAAAAATAGAACAATACAAATTAAGGAGTAATTTATACCAATTGTTATTTTAAACTAAAAGATATTAAACTTCAATTTGAACTTTCATATCAAATTATAACAATACGGTATTTTAATGACTAAATATATTTTTATTTTTTACTCGTACGCTATAAGTTTAAATCTCATTGATGATATATTGTTTGTATTTTGTTGGTACATTATGCATCAGTAATAATTAATTTAGTTATTGTTTAATATTAATAAATCGTTTATTTTTTAAAGTAAAAAAAAATATTTGAAAACGATTAGATTATTTTAATTATGATATATATTACAAATTAGGAGTTCGAACTGATATTTACTCTATCAAAAAAAAATAAATAAATAAAATTATCATATCAAATTGATTATCATATTATATAAATACGATAATATTATATTAATGTTTATACTACGTCTAAATATTATTTACTATATTTCAATCAAATTTAGCTAATAAAAAAAAAGATTTAATATATTGTATTTGACTACGTAAAATAATAGTGTATATGTATTCTTTAAAATGCTTATATAGGTCTAAAGCTTCACTTACCTTTAGTTATAATATAAGGTTATAAATCTTTTAATAATTTTTTAAAACAAAATATAAATTAAGTTAATTCCTAAAAAGAATATAATAAATAAATTTTATTTATATTTTAATCATACATATGAAAAATAAAATTTTGTTAAGACAGTGTAAATTTCTGACGCGTTCATGTTATCGTGGGCTAACGACACGTGTCATCAATGGGTCAAATCTTCTGGAAGAGAAATCAGAAAATCAAAACCCCAAAATCCAAACCCTTGATTCTCTATAAACACCGACTTCATCATCATCATCGTCATCATCATCATCATCGTCATCATCCTCATCGTATCAGTCCATTTCTTCCTCCTCTCTAGCATGCAATGGGTTCGGCCGCCCCTGTAGACGGCCCCCATCAACAGAACCGCAACCAGAAGGAGGCGGAGCGGCAAGGAAACGGTCATCTGTTTCTCGAATCTTTACCGGTGATAGACATTCGCTTCCTCTCTCAATCAGAACTCCTTGCCCTTTCGCTCTGCTCCTCAGCCTCGTTATCCCGTTCTCTTCCGGATGATGACGATGTTATCATCCCTAAAATCGACCGCTCCGTTTTCAACGAGTCCGCCGGCAGCCGCAAGCAGACATTCTCCCGTCTCCGTCTTGCCACCCGCCATAACCACCATAATGAAAATAATCACTCCATTCACAAACCCTCTGTTGTTTCTCAATCGCTCGAACGAGAGAACTCTCAAATTCTTTCGCTCCTCAAATCGCTCTTTCCCCTCCCTGAGGACGATGGTACCGACTCTGGACAAGTCATGGTGGAGAAGGGGAAGGAGGCGGAGGAGGACGGGCAACTCTTTCCGGTTCGGGTTGAATACAGCGATCCTGATGGGAATTCTAGTTCAGCTTTCCAGAGCATTCCTGTTGACGTCGTTAATTCTGTTCAGAGGAAGAGGAAGCGAGGTCGGCCAAGGAAGGAGGAGAAGCTTGGCGGTAGGGTTACCTGGAACGGTGGTTGCGAAGTCATGGCTGAGAGTAAGGTGGTTGGTGGTGACAGTATAGGTGTTTCAGAGCAGACGGTGATGGAGAACAGGGTCGGCATGGAGGTGGATTCGGTCGCCCGGAATGCTTAGGACCCGTTGAGGAAACTGTAAGTGCTCATTAACTTTTTCCATCACTTTCTTTCAATGCTTTTCTTAAAAAAATATTATTTCTGCTAGAAGAATGTGTCTGGTTTTTAATACATTGGTTTATTTATTGAAATTCATAAAGTTGAGGAAAACTTTTTGAGTATTGCTACATAGTGCCTCTTGATAAATGAAGTAGGTAGTAGCATATACATGGTAAAAGTAGAATAAAGTATTTCTTTACAGTGGAATTCTAATATAAGTGCATGTAACATGGAGTTTGTGCTTGAGCAGTGTGTCTGATGCATGGTACGTTATTGGTATGCTTGTGAAATTCAATAAGTTCATTAAGTTATACATTAATCTTTTCAGTACAAAAGGAATTATTTAACTATATTAGCAAGGGTTTCTTATATGACTCAAGAGTTCGTTTATGGGATGATTTTTCTTTTCTAACTTCTTATATTGATATTGCCAAAATAGCGGAAAATGAATCGGGTGCACATGCACACACATGTAACGGTATGCAGCTTGATTCTGTTTTGTATTTAACATGTGCTAGCATTGTTAGGAGATTCAAAATAACTGAAGTGTTTCTGTTTTTCCTTTAATTTGTCTTCATTATTGTATGAAAAGTAATCTTTTTCTTTGGGAGATGAGGTTTAGACTAAGAGAAATGCTAAATGTACAAAAGGCCTGTATGAAAATTCTTGTAAAAACTGATATGATGGCCAATGTGGATAAAAAAATTAATAGTTTACTTAATGTGGATTAATATATTATATTATCATCACATCATATATGCCCTATAGACATTATAACCATTTATGGTAGAAGGTAGTTTAATATATGTGCTATGGAAGATATGAGATATTCTGTTTATGAATGGTTAATTTCTAGATGACATTTGTACATATACGGAATTTAATTAAAATGATTTTATGCCACATCTTGTGTTTAAAAATTTACAAAACAGTAGCAACTATTAATGGAGTTAAAAATGGTTCAGAATAATGTAAACAATAAAATATTCATATTGTGTCGTATGATTTCCTAGTCTGAGTGTCGTCTTAGGCCTTCTGATTTGTGACTTAGAGGCTGTTTGAAATTACTTATTTTGGTGCTTATAATTAGTTTTAAGCAACTCTACTCTAGTATTTGTTTTTTATAACATAAAAAATCATGATGCTTGGTAGGTACTTGAAAAGACACTTTAACATTCCAGAGAATAAGCACCGTAATTGATGCAAAATTAATTAGCTTTAGATTGTATAAGTATTAAAAATCATAATTTTATTACATGCAAAACTACTATCCTATTTAAGAGTGTCATTATAGTTTTAGACTACTTTAGGTTTTTCTTCTTATTAGGATTTTGTTTTCCTATTTATATTAGTAATATTGGTTTGGGAGGTGAAGACCATAAGAGATTGTTTCTCCCCGCAAGGAAGAGGGAAAAAAGGCACTGTCATCTATCTCGACCAGTATTTGTTAGTTTGATCCTATTTATAAAGGTTACTTAGGAAGCATTATATGTATCTTCATAATTTCACTTTTTGGAACAAACTTCGGTTGTCCGTAAAATATTTCGAAAGTTTCAACAATTTTCTAATGGTTTAATGCAATCAGATCTTTAAGTGTGAGCATAAAATTTTTTGTGTTGTCAAAGAAACCCTAGGTTAAATGTCTAGATTTTAATCCCAAATTTTTAGGTTGGCAAATTAATCGTAATTAGTCCTACATCACTTGGTATTAGAACTGAATGAATTCTTCACTGAAAACCTCAAACTCCATATCTGAACAGGCCCATCCATCAGAAAAAGATATAGAAAAATTGGAACTCTAAACCTATAAATCAGCAGCCTGCTGCAATCACCGAAAGAAGTGTACCACGAACAACACAGTCATCACTGGCATGAAAATCCTCTGGAAATAAATTCTAGGGATGATATCTATGTTCTTATTCCTAAACTTCTAACAGAATTTCTTTTAAGCTTTCCACTCTTTTGAAGCCTTCATTTATTTGGTCGAACCCCTTGTGATGCCTTCTCCATAGAAATCTCAAGCTCCATTTTGCAGCATGGGCATGAAGACTTGCATGTCTCAGCCTCTCTGTTGCTGCAAGATGTACTTCCTCATCTCTGGTTCTTCTCCTTACATCTGCCCTAGAACTCCATGGTGGTTTAAAAAGCTTTACCCACATACTGCCCCCGTAATCCTCCACCACCCGGTTGCCTCCTCCCCATCATGCATTAATCTTTCATACCCTCTCCCTTGGTCTCTCTGTTATAGCCCGAAATCTGCTTCCTCCATTGGTACCTAAAGCTACCAAGAATGGTGTTGCTCCCACCATGCTTGTCACCCGTTAACCTTTGTCTTGCTCCCAAAAGAACTGTTTAGAAGTTCAGATCAACCATTTGACCTCCTCTTCCATGAACACTGTTTTTGATCGAAAGCCCCTTACTAATCTTACTTAAGCTGACACCTTTTAGCTCTCTCCAGTCAAAGTCTATGTCATATGATTTCCTTTCTATGTTCAGACATCCTTGGAGGATAACCATCACGTATACAGTGTAAGAGCTTCCAAAGAAAAAGTTCTAATGCCATAACTAAAATAAATAAAAGCAAAATAAAATAACAAAAAATAAACCTGTGCAACACACAATCTCATAAATCTTGTTTAACAAAAAAGTCTTTCTAGGAATCATAAGGGAATTGCTCTTAAGCATCCTACTCCTCTCTCTTTTGCTAAATGCAACCAGTTATCTTGATTTTATTTTATTTTAAGAACTTAAGTTACTTTAAGGAGTTAAAATGGTAAAATTATCTCGCACTTTCTGGACTCTTTTTTATTTTTATTTGTTTGTTAGATAATGTTTAACTTAGTTTGTGTGGTTGTCCGCTAAGTTACTTTCTTGGTCAGGCAAAAAAAGGGAAACTATAAATGCTGAGAGTAAATGATTGTCAGGGAATTAGTTTTCCTCATGCCTGGCACAATATTTGGACTTAGATTATCAACGGGGAGCAAATTCTAAGAGCAACTGCGCTGTGCTGTTACTTTATTTTCAAGAATAGCCTAATAAGATGTGCTAGTGAATAAATTTAAATTGGAAGATTTCTTATATGTAAAATATTCATATATATCTTATGATCAGCTTACTAAAATATTTGAAAGTAAAAACACTTTTTTTCATCAATGTTTGACTTCATATATTCAAGTGTTTGTTGATTGATGTGTGATGGTCTATTCCTGTAGGCCTGCTGCCTGGTGCTGCACGCGTGTTTATACACAACAGCAAGCACAAGACATGCAAAACCATGAATACAAATATACACATGT